TAGCCAAAGAGTCGGTTGTGTACCACTTATTTTTATGTATACTTAATAATAAAATATTTCAAAATTATTTTCATACGTTATTAAATGATTATTGTGTATTTTTATGTAATTAATAATTTAAAAAAAAAATTGTTTTATGACAAAAAATAGAATTGTACATTCATGGGGCGCGAACTCGTGACAAAAAAGTTTCCAGCGGTTCCATAGTCGGACACCTTACCAACTTACCCATCGGCAACGTTGAAAAACTTTCTAATATTTTAGAGGATAAGGTGCGTAATTTTCAATTATTTATAATAACTTTACTCTCTCCATTCAGAATTTACTTCATCCAGTGCAAAAATGTTCGAAATCACATAATGCACTAAGTGTGTAAAGGAAATGTAAAAATTGAAAGTATTTCTCATGTTATCGCACGAAATATGTCGAAAATATCGGTTTTTGATTTTTTTCGGTTTGACGCACCAGAATGAAAAATCTGAAAAAAATTGAGGACACCAGTCATGCTAATATCTAACTACTGTAAAAGTAAAAATCTAGTGTCTCGAAAGCTTCTACCCGAAATCTCTATTTTTCGACTTTTTTTTGCGTTTTTGATTTTTCACGCCTAGGATTTGCAACCGAAAAATCTGAAAAAATTCACAATCATAAAGAAACATGGCTAGAATATTCTAGAATTTTTTCAGATTTTTTGAATGCCATTAAATAGGGAAAATATGGCAAAAATTACTTTTTCTTTCTTACCCTGTAACTACCCTCCCGGTTGAGGTACAGGGTTGAAACTTGGTGTACCATAGTTTTTTGGGATATGCTATCGAATGGTGCATTGCGAAGCAAATTCGGCTCAAGGGCACTTTTGACCATCTTATCCTGCTATACCCTTTTCCAGGGATCCTACGATCCTTCAAAGTGACACGCGTCGACGGAAGGCTACGGATTAAACTTCGAAGAGGGAGTGAACAAAAATGTCGACTTTAATTTGATATCTCTGTTAATCCGTCCGGTAATTAAAAAGCTAGCCTGTTCGGTCGCGAAAAAGGGATCATCGTCGAACTCTCGCCTTTTTTACTACGACGTTCAGTCTCGCCGCTCTGCAACCCCTAACCCTTGGAACTTTTAACTTTGTCGTTAGGGTGCGACTCGAAATTGCACCATCTTTTTACCAGAACCTCCGGAGCGTAAATTCGTTACACATTCTCATTTAATGATTCATTAAATTTTAACGGTCCAGTTAATTTACGTGATTTGTGCAGACGCGAGAGTTGCATTAATCTCCCAATTAAAACAGCGATCGTTTAGGAGCCGGCCAAAATTGCGAAATTATGGAATTTTTTTGAATTTTTTGCCACGAGAGTTTAGCGATGGAAATAGTGAGAATTGCAGCTGTAAAAAGTGGTGAATTGAGTTTCATTTAAAGTATTATTAATTACGTCTCGAGTTCATAATTTTTCCCAGTAAAATAATAAAAATACTCATTTTATATACCCCCCTATCATCTACACATAAAATGGTATTTAAATTGAAAGACACAGGCGGCAAGTACTTTCCAGCTTTCAAGTCTTGGTGAAAGCTCATTCGTCGAATCACGGGCCTCGAGCAGAGGCCGGCATTTTTCCCAGTTTATAAAAGCCGGGACAACACGAAACACGCTCGTAAATTTCAATTACAGTGGCTTATTACGCCGACTGTAACAGCAGCCGTCCAGGCAGGTGTAACGCTGTAATTGGGTATTAAAGCTGGTTACTTTTAAATTCAACCAACCACCGTGGTTGCATCTTTGTTCGCGCTTTCTCGGCTTTCCAACCGTTCGAAAAGGGTGAATATGCAAAAGCGTACACTTTTATAGATCCATAAATGTCTGCTGGTACATTTTCCAATGTTTCTTGATATGCAAAATACAGGTTGGTTTCTTTTGAACGAGCATCGATTCACCAGCTACCAAAATGCTTGTACGAATCTTTCACTTATATTTAACTTAACGATTAGCTTCGTAGTGTCGCGTGGAACGCTCGCGAAATGTTCAATCGCGAAAAACAAACAGGTTTTTTTTTTTTACTCTGGAAAACGCGAAAGCGAATAGCGAAAAATTGATCGCGCGAATACCGTGCAATATTCGCGAATTTTGTCGATCGGTTGAGCGAAAATTTGCTGAAAATTTATAGCCATTCATTTTTTATTTGTATTAAATTCACTACCCACTCGTTTACAGTGGAATTTTATATAATCAACGTTTAAATGGACCACTTATAGGTACGGCTGAAAAATTTTCATCCTTTGATTCATTTGAATTTTTATTTTTATTTAATGAATAAAGGGTGGAATAAAATTTCAATATAATAAGACCGAATATGGAAATAAAAGAATCGCGCAGCTTTTGGTAACGTAATTATATTATATTTTTTGAAAGACAAGTTCTGTAATGGATTTCCCCGATCGAATGAAATTTCCATCTTGTTCGCTGGATTTTACGATTCTATTTGCATAGAGATTCGTCGAGTCCAGGTTAAAAAAAAAAAAGAAACGAAAGAACGAGCGGATCGTTCGTAAAAATCCAATATTCCATCGAAAACCGTAAAAAGAAATAACTGAAAATTCATCTTGACTGCTGAATTATCGACACGAGCCCACTATTTTCTCGTTTTTCTGCTGTCAAACTCTAGCAGAACTTGGTATATTCTTTTATTCTATCGATTTATCGATTACATGAATCAAGAGACATAAATACATTATACTGAAACTAATTATCTAATTGCAGATCACTCAGCAAATTCTAAAATTCCACTCGTTTCATGTATTAGATATAATTTAAACTGGAATGCCAAAATTTTCATGAAAATTTATAATTAAATGGCAAACGTATTAACACATTTTTCTTAATTTGAAAAGAACTCGTGATAAAGAATTAGAGCATGAATATTTTCATCTCTTTCAAAGTATTTTCAGGATATTTTTTGAAGAAAATAAATTACAAAATTTCGACTGGAATGCAAATTTTTTGTGGTATAATTACTTTCGTTCCCCACATGGAATATTTTTCCAGGAGAAAAAGGAAAAAAAAAAATTTGGACGTTAATGCAAACCTTCGCTCATCCGTTCGTTCCACGAACGAAAGAAACAGGAAGAAGCGTTCGTGTTTAATTGATCGTGCGATTTCCGTGTGTATTATCGAGGGGGTGAGAGAGCGGGCAGTGCGAGGCGATATATCTCGTCACGACTGTTCGAGTCGTGTGTTCCTTTTTTTTTTTTTTTAATTTTTTTTAAACTGATGCCCGCCATTGTTTCCTTACCTTTTCGGACACTTCGGGGATCGTAATTTTCGACAGGCCTCCTCAGTGTCCCTCGTTCAGCGTTCAAATTTTCTTTATATCATCGTCTCTCTTTCTCTCTCATTTTCTCTATTTGTTCTCTCTTTATATTCGCTCGCTCTCTCAATTTTATTTATTATCTGTCGCGCGTAGAACAACTCTATATAGGAACAATAAGAGACACGCGTCAGACATTATCTTTTCTTTCTATGATTCTTATATAATTTTTTTGTTATTTTTTTTTTATTTTTAGCCAGCAGTAGCCAGCGACGTTTCCTTGAGTTTCGCTGACCAATTTCTATCATTCTCTTTCTCTTTTGGCCATGCGTGCATTGCCTCTTTTCCTCGACTCAAATTAATGTTTCTCTTTTGCCTCGAGCGCGTCCACCCCTTCAACTTCGCCAATTCTAACGGGAATCGCAACATCCACCGTCGGAGATTAGATTTTCGTTGCGATACTAATTAGATTTTCTCGAATTTCATTTCGAAGATTAATCAGTTTCCGTGGATGGTGCGAGTCACGTCTCGGCTCTGTTTACGCTTTCGAGAGACGTCGCGACGCAGCCTGGAAATGACCGAATGCTGATTTTCTATATGAAATGTTACATATGCAAGTTCTTTGAGTAAATTCTGAATAGATAATTACATGGCCTCCGTACGCTATGTTGAAGATTTACTAAAAAGTTAACGTCTCACTTTGACTACAGTGAAAATGTAATAATTAAGGATTTCTTTCACCATAAAGAGAACAAATTTCACTAACATTTTAATGAGAGCGAACTTCGTAAGTTCTGAAAATTCTGAAATTATCATTTCCATAGTGATCCACGTCGTGATTAATTTCAACGGAGCCAATCGATCGATATCGAACAGTCGATATTCACTTAAGAGCGATTAAACAGAAGAATATAGAGATTGCGGCAAGTGCAATTTATACGCAACGATATATCTTGATTCCGGTGGCGAAAATAGAGTGCATAAGTCATTCGAGGATGCAGAATCACTCGAGGCACTCGAAACGATCGGCGAGTGCCGGTCTCGATCGATGCCACTCGATGTTTTCGAGTGCCTCGACCGGATTCACTTTGCACGCGAGCAGTACCCTCTTGGTCAGCAATTATTTCTCAACAATTATTCGAAAAACGTATCGAAAAGGATCGTGGCTCCAGGAAAATTTGTTAACTCATTCGTCTCTCGGTCAGAGCCATTTTTTTTACTTTTTCGCTTAAATCTAAACGCTTCTCGCGTGCTCGTAAATCACTGTTCGCGTTAAAAAGAATTTTTCCACTGTTGATGAAAGAAAGGAACGACGTTTACGAGCAACGACGATTCATGCGTCGCTTAAATTCTACAAGATCAACGTGAAATAGGCGACCAACGCTTGGATCGATGAAAATAAGCATTTTAATATAAAATATGTATAACAGCGTGGTTAAATGTAGAAGAAATTGATACGAGCAGGTCGCTGGTCGCCTGTTGATCAGAGCGAAAAGCGCAAGCGAATGACACTCGTCTCGCGTGCGCTTTTCGCGTGCACCTGTGAAACAAAGAATAAAAAATATATGTATATGTATATATATATATAAAAAAAAAAAGAAAAATAAGTACAATACGTGTATAAATGAATTAATGGCGATGTATACATATATATATGTATGTATATATATATATAAGTATAAGAATGTTCATGCACACCTCAATCTTTCTGCCCTCAACCACGGTGCCGTGTAGCCTCTCACGTGCCCGGTCCGCGTCAGCACTATTTGCGAATGTTACAAAACCGAATCCCTGCATGCAAGGACAGACAAAACAACATGCATTAAACTCAACTTACAGACTGCCAGCGCTCGGCAAACAGCCGACGGACAGGCCCGACATTTCGTGCTTTTTCTTCGACAATTTTCTAACGTGTCTTTATTTAAAAAGAAAGAAATGTAAAACGTGTCTTTATAAGAAAATGATGAAAAAAGAGGGGAAAAAATAAATATGAAAATTAGAAAAAAGGCGACGCAACTGTTCGAAGCGATCTGGAAGCGAACCAGTGCGTTTTCTGTGGGGAGGGTGCTTCGCGTGCAATTGACGAGACAACTCTTTTCACGTGCACCGCTATCGAATTCACGTCGATTCGACGAACTTTTCATTCAAGGTATATCCCGAACGAAACGAGCTCATAACACCGTATACTCGTTTCTTTGTTCCCGTTTCCCTTTTTCGCCCTTCGCGCGACTCTTCTCACCCTTCACGACCCCTCTCTCGCCAGGCAAGCCTTCTTTTCCTCTCGTGCTTCATTCTTCCGTTTATTCCTCGGACCCGTACAATGGCCGTTTGCCAGAGGTCGCGCTAATTAATTCTCAAGATTCTCTCGAGACGCGAGGCCGAGAGGCACGAAAAGTTTCGTGGAATTTCTTTCAGCCGTCCAGCGCCATTCAATTCCGAATGATTCGCGAAATTCCTAGAGAGAATTCTTAATTGCTTCCACAGCGAAACGATAACCCGTTTGAGACTCGTTAACTAATAAAATATGTTTCTTTAACGCCGACGTTTAACGCTTTACACATTTGAATGTTAAGGATCACAGAGATTGTTAAGTTTCAAAGCGATTAACGTTGTTCGAATGATCTGTGAAGGGTAGAAAAGAGTTTCTTCTCTGTTTGATTAAAAGTAGAGAGAGAGAAAAATGATAAGAATCGATTTAAAGCACGAATTCCATCAGCCGAAATGTCGGTTTGCCAGAGGGTCTGCGAGCGCGTCATACTGCTTACGGAGACGCACCAAACAACGTGCAACAAATAAGTAAATATAAAATCATGGTAAGAAATCATGGTCATGGTCACATTAATCATCTCATTATCATATCATATCATATCGTGTCATGTCATCACGGTCATCGTCATATCATTAAAGACTCTTGCTTGTACCGAGAGGTGCGTGTACGAGAAAAAAAAAAAAAGAAAAATAATTAAACAGTGATAAGGATGTTAGGAACACGAAGGAAAGAGGAAATCGGAGAAGAATTGCCGAGGATCGAAAATTTGGTGCGCGCAATTCACGTATGTGTGTATGTGTGTGCCAGTTGTGATTTTCGTGTGTGCAAAATATGGAAGAAAGATATATAGAGAAATTCTTGAAGAAGTTCGATAATTGACAATGATTATTAATTAAAACGCGAAATTTTACTACTCTGAAAGCTTTTACACAAATTTTTCTTCCTTTCGACAAACGACTCTCATTTTCCTAAACGACGCCGTCGCGTCACGACGAATAAGAATCTCGCAACGTCTCCTAGAACGAACACTAATCCGCTCTAAGCGACGCGACTCGCAGTCTTTCCGAGCTCGATGAATTTTCCAGCTACAACCCTCTGGATGGAACGTATTTCTTTTCTGAAGAAATTAATCAAGAGAGTTTTACGAAAGCAGAGGGGACGAGTAGCTTCGTCGGATAATCGAGTTCCTCTCGTTTCCAACCCCTCGACAAGACGGGTTCGCCTGCCAGAAGCGGTTACGTATCCGAGGAGCTGTCGGCATCGCTGAGAAATCGTATTAAAGCCAAATCAAATACGACCGTCTCTCCTCGAAGAACGAAATAGGAGAGTGCAAAGTTATCGGTCGTCCTGTGCTCCTGACGTAATACGCGCCGAGGAACGGTTTGTTTCTACCCTCAAGGAACATCGTAACTCGTTCTCGATGGACGGGGATGGGCCGGCTTGATAATCGAATCGATGGGAGAAATTGAATTGCACCGACGTGAATTCCACAGGAATAATCGAGCCAGGATTTCTCTGCGTTTCGTTAATTAATCGACGAGACGGGGGCCAGAGGAAGCTGGTTAATTGAGGAAGATGGCGGAGGGGCTGAGGGATGTAAAAGGTTCGAGAGAAGCTCAAATTTGAAAGCAATTAATGTTCTAACTTCGTTTCTACTAACGAGTGGAAATTGGACGACTGTTAACTCAGCTTCCTTTGTAATTTATTATCATCTACCTTGACGATGTAATTTTTTTTTTTCTTTTTTCAATCTCAGAACTTTATCATCTTGGAAACTCATCTACTCATCTTTTTTGCGAACGTGACAAATGATGCTTTACTTGGATTATCGGATACTTTGCGAAGAAGAGTCATTAACCATAGGCTTAACACAAATTTACTTTTCTCGTCTGAGACATTAAAGGCATTTTCTGTTTGAATTTTCTCTGAACCAGACTGGACAGATTTATAATTTAAGCCTTCCTTTTTCCTTGATGTCTTTCAGAACTTTTGAACTTCCATTTGGAAGTTCTGAATATTTCATCTCACCCCGAGTTTCGCAGTTTCTCATCGTAACTCACTGAATTTTTCACCTCCCTCGTCGATTCTCCGTCGATTTCCATTAAAAACTGAAGCATTTTTCGCCCAGGAAACCATGCACGAATTATTTGCTGTCGACATTGTTTACCAGCCTTCCTATATACTCCTTTCTCCAGCGGAGGGCATTGTGCGACCGCTCGATAATGCAGGCTGCATTTATGAAACAGTCAACGAGACTCGATGAATTCGTTTTCAAACGATCGACCGTACTGTCGTTGCTCGTTAAACAATATTTCCATACGAACGATTGAACTGGACAACTTTGTTGGAACAACAAAGCCCCTTCGTATGTCGAAACGTTTTACATTTGTCCAAAATGCATTCACGATTTCGAATGATAAACAACTGTTACCGAAGAAAATAATTATTCCTTCAACTTTGATATACGATTTAATTGGAATATCGAAGATTTGAAATACCATAAAAATTCATTTTTGTCTGAAACACGAAGCTATCCAATTTGGAGGATCACAACAAGAAAGATGTATCAGTAAAAGCATCGATACGTCGACGTTGAAAAATTTTCCTCCGAAAAAAAAGAAGAAATCTCGTCTGTCTCACGCCTTTCATCCGGCATTCGCGACGCGAAACGAATCGCACGCATTCATATTCACATGGGAAATCAGCATAATGTCGATAAGCTGAGTGTACCGACAATACTTCGGCTCGAACACGAAGGAATCGAATAATCGATTTGCATATCGAGCACGCGTGTCCAATCATACGTCGCACTTTCCAATCCACGAAAGTCAAGTTTCTCGGTGCAAAATTCAAGAGCCATCGTTTCGTGATCGACAACTGAACGATTCCGAGAGTTTTCGAATTTGAAACATGATGAAAACAAATTTAGAAGAGAAAGCGATAATGAAAAGATGAGTTCCAAAGTAATCGAGAAGCGAGGTAAAATTTTCAGGATGCCTAAAGTTTGAATGCAATAGAATAATCGAAAGAGAAGTGTATACTAGTATTTTCTACGGCAATTTTCTTCGCTGATAATCCAAAACGCGATCCAGGGACGTGGTTCACGTGACGGAAGATCGCGATCTTGACGAAAACCTGCTTAAAGCCTTATCGGCTTTCGGAAAATTGAGGTTGGCGTGCAGAAACCACCGAGCCACCTCCCACGTTTTCTTTCCTTTCAGGAAATTAATCCACCGGGAGTCTTACAAATCTTTCCTACCATACTCGTTCATCCTGTTAAATGAAATAACGATCCTCCTCCTTCCGTTCCTTAAACCCTTTAAATTTCATTTTAAATATTATCAAAGTTTCATTTGATCTTTTTAACCTTTGAACAGCTAGCCCAACCTTATAAAATGTATAGAAGGAAAGAGTTTCATATGTTAGAAGAATAATTTTCAGAAGAACAATATAAAATTTAGAAAATGAAAATACTATGAAATAAAAGATTGAATTAAAATTAGGCCTCTCTCCATGGTCCGTCGTTCATAGAAATCCATAAAATACGACAATTTCATCTAACAATGAATTTCACAGTCATTTACGATATCAAAGGGAAGGTTTCTTAATCTCTCCCATTATTCGTCGGCCCTTTTTCAAAGTAATTACCCTACTTGTTGAAAGAAGCCTAATTACACGGTTGATTTATCTGAAGATGCATCTTGAACCGCACGGTAACAGGAAAGGTGTATTAGAAAAATAACCAGCAGGTTGTTCGATAAGCCTAGCAGGTTTCTCTGAACTTTGTCACGAACGAAATCGTGCCAGCACCGCATCGTGCAATTTATCTTCACGCTCGCTATTGAATAGCGCGACTGCCTCTCAAAACCTTGTGTATTCATCGTTCGGTTTTCTCGTTTTACGATGGCTACGCGCCGCTTGACAACGAGAAAACGTGAAACGAGAAGGATCGAGAATCGCGTTCAAAGTGTTTTCGTGTCGAACGAGTTCTTTTTTACTCCCCTTGTCTCTCGATGAAATCGCGACTCCAAGGCTGTTCAACGGCTCGTAGATGCGGAAACAATGATATTCCGCCTGCGGTTTAAACACGGTTAATTACGATTCAAAATGTATTCGGTACAACATCGAGTCAAGGGTGTTTCGACGTGTTTCTACCTTTAATCACAAACACGTTCCACGTGAACAGTCTTGAATTTAAAATTTCATGTAATTAATAACTAAGTTCACTATATTTCTAACAATCTTACGATGCGAAATTTCCGAAATGTAAGTGTACAATAAATACTATAAGGTGCGATTAAAGAACCTCCCCTAAAATGTGCGAGGGTGTATCAGAACCAAATTCTAACATCTCCTCTCCCCTAAACATCAACAAAAACACAATTGGAAACAACTTGAGACTACGTTGGTGCAATTGCGAGTAGTAAATTAGCATGGTTGAAAAGTGAAACGTGTAATTCACCCCTGTACGCTCGAATCGCGTGAACTGATAACACGATAATTAAGCAGATAAACGGGTGAT